TAGCGTTGTCAGCCTAGAATTGACTGGATGGAATTAAGGATCATTGTCAACAAGTCGTGCAGCGCTAATTCAAGCTACATGACGACGAACAAAATGGTATGGGCATATGTGTTTGCTGAAGAAGTCACACACGTTCAAAGTGATATTGAGGTGTCGATACCCCCCCCAAATTCACAGGACAAGCCCAAGAAGAAGAAAGTAAGGACACCAACTGGAAGGCGCCGGATAAAGACTGCCTCTTTTGCCATCGTCATGGAAGTCATGGTCGATGATAGTTTGACGAATAGTAGGATCAGAGGCAAAAGCCCGTCCCAAGAGAAGAATAAGAAGGCCGTCAAGAAGGCTTTTCCGTCAAGTATTTTGCGTGCCCCAATCATGGTAAATGCTGTATTGATGAAGTAAGTGATCAAGACCAAGACACTTCGAGCAAGTTTGTAAATATTGTGGCCTACAATGGAGAAGGTGAAGTTGATATTATCCGTGAGGTGAAAATTGAAAATCTTCAAAGTTCAGTCAAGAATTGTTTTTCTGTCGTTGAAAGTTTAGAAGACGCTGAAGCGTACCCTGGTAAAAGGCAAAATTTTGCAAATACGATCGTCGAAAAATCAATCGACGATTTCATCAATACTGTATTGATGAGAGGACGCGGAAGGAAAAGTTTGACGAGCAGTTGTGGCACGCCCAAAGGGTAAATCCTGCGCATGGGATTTTCAAGAATTATGCCGAAAATTTATATGACAAGGAATCACCATCCGATAGAGGTGGTATACTTTCTAATACAAAGTATTGTATCACCGGGCAGGGGTTGTTGCCAAAAGAACAAGTCATTGCATTCGACAAGTTCTTTGCACAGCGACAGAAGGCTGGTCGATCTAAAAGATGGTTTATGTCAGATACGAATCCGCGAACATGATACACCACTTACTGCAGTCAGCACACCCAGTGGTATGCTGTGGGAATGGTTGATGAAGTCACAAGATTTGAAGAACGCCCGCGCGACTTCAACAGATTGGTCACGAATCCATTAAGAGAATTCGTGCCGAGTTACTTTCGCGGTATATTCGTTCATAGTCGAAAAACGGGTGAGAATTCTGATGTCGATGATCCTCTTGATCCTTTGTCAATCTTCCAAGTTAGACGTAAGAATAAACTCAACGCTTATCAGGAAAAGCGATTGTTTTACTTTGCACCAGAGATCCCGTTCTCGGCTGATTTGTGGGTAAAAATGGCGCTCGTGTAGATCCGGAGAAAGTAAGGATTGGCCTATGTCAAACAATGTGAAACAACTGAGACAATAGTTGGGCTTGGCCAACTATTTGCACAAATACACGCGCAGTTATACAGCGTTAATGCAGCCCTTAACGAATCTTTTAAAACAAAACGTTGAGTGGGAATGGTCAAGATATCACCTGGTGGAATTTGCCGAAGTGAAGAAGAGGTCGAGAGAAGCTCCTGTCCTTGCGGTTACAAACACTATACACCTTTTCGTGTGTTCTGCGATGGAAGTGATTATGCTATTGGTTGTGCACTCATGCAACACAATGATGAGGTCGAAAGTGAGTTGTCGTATCCGTCGCGACAACTCCAGTCCGCGGAACGAAACTATCCAGTTCATCACAAAATGCTTCTTACAATGAAGTATATTTTGGTCAAGTTCCGTGTGTAATTGCTTGGAGAGGAGCGCTTCGCGATCTATACAGATCATACCTCGTTGCATGCGGCAGTAAAGACCCCTCACTTATCACAAAGAATGACTCGATGGTTTTCCTTCTTTGCGGAGTACAACTTTGTTGTACACTACAAGCCGGCAAGACGAAATCTTAGCCGATACGTCCAGATTATAAACTAAATTCCGGGATCGACGACATGCATGAGTCATGTCGACAATGCTAAGATGCGCAAATGATCAGAGTGCAAGCAAAGACTACAGTGCCGATTAAATTGTCGAGAAGTACAATTTTGATGCGACATGTTAGGACTTGTTAAGGTATTTCAAACACCCTTCTATCCCGGGATTACTACTTACCACACATATATAAGTAGTTGTTGTTTTCATTTGCATGACCTCCTGTTGAGATCGTGTCTGACTGTGACACACGTTACACGTCGAAGTTTTGGCGTGTACTGTTTGGACTGTTAGACACCAAATTATCCAAATCAACAGCGGCTCATCCTGAAAGGAAAATTTAAACAGAGCGTGTGGATCGAATCCTGGAAGACGTTCTGTGTAGTTACGCTTCGTCGCTCAGTAAGTGGAGAGAAATTCTCCCTCTCGCAGAGTTTGAGTTGAACAACTCCGCGCATTCTCGACAGGTCATTCACCTAAATGCTGTCATAGAGTTTTACTCAATGAGACCTCTAGACGACATGACAAGTCGTGAAGAACAGCACGTCGATGAGATTATTCTGAAGAGACAAGCCGTTGTGAGGTTTGTTCGAGGCGTAATTTAGAAAACTCAGGATCGGCAGAAAAACAAAGCAGATACGACGGAAGAAATATCAATAAGTACGTAAAATTAATGATCTTGTACTACTTAGCACGACCGATTTATCTGAACATGCAGAATCCAATTTGGGAAGCAGAAAGCCTTTGCTAACATTCATTGAGCCGCTCAAGGTGTTGGAATGCAATGGTGATTCGTATACATTAGCCATCCCTAAACGCATGCGCCTACATCCAACCTAACATGAGTAGGCTAAAGTCGTATTTTCCCAGTAGATCTGCCGATTCAATTATGTCTCAAGCAGAAAATCGAGCTGATCATGAAGCTACTCCATTTGTCCACGAAGAGCAACTAACCATTCCTTCTGGGTATTTTTCTAGGCGTACAAGCGTAGAAGGACATCAAAGGATCGTTCCTTCACTGATTTAACGCTTGAAGTCGAGAATGGTATTCACCACAGAGTACCTCGAGAACAGAGCCTACCATTTGACACAGCGCAACGAGTGATCGTGAGCCAACTCACGACACTTCTTGTCCTATCGGAGTCTAACAAGAACTTGTTAAAATTGTAGTTCAAAACAGACCCCAAAGTCGGAACGTCGATTTTCGAGTTCTTCTCTGCAACAAGGTAAGAAAGCCTCTTGTAGCGATCTTGAAGCGTCGAGCAATGCTGCTGCAATACCCTAAATCGCCCGCTATAAGCGCTCTTCCACTTGCAGAGTCGCTCAAATGTTTTTTTTTCGTTCAAACCCACCTCGGCTTTTAGACTCTCGTGGTGGTGGTTGAGACGATTGTCGATCACGAGTATTGATCGACTCGTCATCGTGAAAA